TTATAATATTTGGCTTTATCTTCTAGAGCTGATCTTTGAAATTTTCTGTTCAGCTCTTGGATCTCCTCATTTCTTCCATTTGCTTTAGCATCTCTATCCTGGAGAGCAAGTTTCAGTGTCTCTTCTGATATCCATTTTGACCTTTTCCTCCTTTCTTGTCTTCTTAATGCCTTTTTGCTTTCTTGATGTATGATGTTCTTAATGTCATCCCACAACTCTTCTGGTCTTTGGTTTTTAGTGTTTAATGTATCAAATCTATTCTTCAGATGATCTCTAAATTCAGGTGGGATCTATTCAAGGTCATATTTTGGCTCTCGTGGACTTGTTTTCATTTTCTTCAGCTTCAGTTTTAATTTGTATATGAGTCATTGATGGTCTTTTCCACAGTCTGCCCCGGCCTTGTTTTCACTGATGACATGGAGCTTTTCCATCGTCTCTTTCCACAGACGTAGTCAATTTGATTTCTATGTATTCCATCTGGTAGATACTTAGGGGGCCTTTTTCCCTGATAAATTCCTGGGTGGTCTGCCATGCAACCATGTCCTGTCCCTTACGCATGAGTCTTGTCTGTCACACTGGTGTTGTTTTGAATCAGAGGCTCCTTGAAGGAAATCTGTGCTGATGACCCTAAAAGAATGCTCATTCATTGCAAGGGGTAAGTGACTCCTTGACCCACAGCAGAGGTACTGCCAGGCTTTGCAGTCATCCTGCTGCTACCCAACTTTTTTTTTTTTTTTTTTTTTTAACTCTTGCAGTTTCTAAAAATTGGGGCAAAAAGATGTAACAATATCCCATTCAACAATTTTTGCATGTAAAATTCCGTGACATTAGTTGGGTTTATCATTTTGTGCAATGCTATTGTTAGTTGCCATCCTCTCCCAAACAGGAGACCCTGGGTCAATTCCAGTCATTGTGCCACCACCAGCTTGCATGCTGCTGTGCAGTTAAACAGGTTCCACTGGAGCTTCCAGAGTAAAATGGACTAGGAAGAACATTAGCCAATAAAACCCCAGTGAACCCCCTCTAAGACTGAAACTCAACTGGAACACATGAGCAAGCATGTAAGCTTGCTGACGATCACATTGCTCTATTGGTGAGTGGAAGGAGGGGAAAGGCAGCAATGAAGAAATGGGCTGAATTCAACCATGTTCCTTAAACTCCCATTAACCTGGAGATGAGAGAGAGAAGAGGAAGGGCTGGTTGGTCCAAGGTTAGACCTGGGGACACCTGAGCCCATGGACAAAGACATAGCCACAGAGGGCTAGAGCTGAGAGTGAAGCATCCAGCTGATATGGAGTGAGAGGAGATGTATAAGAACACCCAAAGTTGCAGATAGTACCCACTTGATCTAACCTCGATGGCTTGATAATCAGAACTCAACTAGAGGAAGATACAAAGAACAAAACATTTTTTGATTAAAAAAAAAAATGAGGATAAATTGCTACAATTTGAACTTGACCTATACTCATGGAGGTTTGTTGTTGTTGTGAAGTGCTGTCGAGTTGATTCCGACCCATAGCGACCCTGTATAGGGTTTCCAAGGAGCAGCTGGTGACCTTGAACCACCAACCTTGCAGTTCAAACGGCTTTGCAGTCTGATGCATTAACCCACACCAACAGAGAGGGAAAGAATCTTCACAACAAGTATCAATGCTATCCTCTCTGTACACAGGGCAGATAGGGATGGGCAACTTAGACATTGGCTACCTAAAATGGTGGTTATGTGCCATGGAGTCGGTTCTGACTCATAGCGACCCTGCACAGGGTTTTGGAGGCTGTAAATCTTTACGGGAGAAGAAAGCCTCATCTTTCTCCTGTGGGACAGCTGGTAGTTTTGAACTGCTGACCTTGAAGTTCGCAGCCCAATTCGCAACCACTATGATACCAGAGCTCCTTAAGGGGGTGTAAAGGCACCAAGTGATTGGCTTACAAGGGTTTCAAGAGGGAATTTAGTTTAAGTGTGTGTGGGGAAAGAAAAAGTCCCCATTGAATAGTTTTCATTTTGTCTAGATGGGTCTGGTTAAAAAAGCTGGGGATAAGATTTTTACAATTTAATACTAATTGTTATCATGACCAGTTGCGACTGTCACAATAGTAAAGGTAGAAGTTTTGTTACAAAAACGGGGGAGTAGTTAATCTTACAGTCCAGGAATAAAGGACCCTAGGACCTTCAAGGGAGAAGAGCACAAGTGGAATGCGAGACTTTATCCAGAGATGCAGTGATACCAGAGATGGAAGCAGAGAAGGGGACATGGAGAGGGAGTGGCTGACTCTAGAGTCATGGAAAGAGACGGACTAAGAGATGGTGGCCAGGAGCAGACTTGCAGAATGTGCCCTTTGGTGAGGTAAATTATTACATATGCCTGAGTGTTTAAAAAAAAAAAAAAAAAGAGCTAAAGTGAATAGAGTATTACATGCAGGGGATTAGAATCATTGTAATGAAACAAGGTGTATGATTTGTTGAATGTAAAACTGATGATCTACCCTGTAAACTTTCACTCAATCCACAATAAAAACCTTAAAGAAAAAACAAAAAAAATAACAAAAATAAAAACCAGTGGCTCACAATGGTCTTGGGGAGGGTACAGTACTGGGGAACCATTTTGCTCCGTTGTGCATGAGGTTGCCAAGAGTCAGAGGCGACTCCAAGGCAGCTAATAAGACCAACAATTAAGAAGGTCTTGGTGTGCGATTAGTAAATTAGTTTGAGGTCTGTACACGTTCTCGTTCTCAATGACACCACCCTTAACACTCTGTTGGATAATAACTGGACTGTTAACCACGAGGGCCTCAGTTCGAGCCCACCTGTTGCTCTGAGAGAAAAAGATGAGGCTTTCTGTCTAGTAAAGATTTGTTGTTTCTGTTAGGTGCCAGCGAGTTGGTACCGACCCAAAGCAACTTTATGCACAACAGAACGAAACACTGCCCGATCCTGGGCCAACCTCACTATTGTTGCCACGCTTGAGTCCATCGATGCTGCCACTTGGCCAGTCTATCTCGTTGGGCATCTTCCTCTTTTTTTCTGACCCTCCATCTTACCAAACATGATATCCTTCTCCAGTGACTCGTCCCTCCTGACAGTATGTCTTAAGTTTGGCCATCCTGGCCTCCAAAGAGCACTCTGGCTGCACTTCTTCCAAAACGGATCTATTGGTTCTTTTGGCAGCCTATAGCACTTTCAATATTCTCCTCCAACACCATAATTCAAAACCATCAGTTCTTCTATGGTCTTCCTTATTCACTGTTCAGCTTTCACATGCATATGAGGTTACTGAAACTACCATGGCTTGGGTCAGGCGGCACCTTAGTCCTTAAACTGACATCTTTGCTCTTCAACACTTTAAAAAGGTCTTGTGCAGCAGATTTGCCTAATGCAATACGTCGTTTGATTTCTTGACTGTTGCTTCCGTGAGTGTTGATAGTTGATCCAAGAAGAATAAAGTCCTTGACAACTTCAATCTTTTCTCCATTGATAAAAATTCAATCTAGGAAACCCTAGACAGTGTGGTCGCAATTCACTGCACTTACTGTGCAGCCACACCTACAGCGAGCATGCGCATGGGCCCACCGCCCGCCGTTAATTCGCCCTCAAATCTCGCCCTTAAGCTATTGGCCGCTTTGCCCGGCTCCGCGCATGCGCAAGTTCGCATTTCCCTTGGCGCTCTGAGACGCGGGCTATTTGTAGGTAATGGCGGTCTCGGCTAGTCGCTGTATGGTTGCAAAAGATGCTCTTCTATTAGCTGTGTGTGACAAAGGTAAGGCAAACGACTCTTCGCTGTTGGGCAAGCGGATCTCCCAAGACTCGAGCTGCCAGCAGCTGCTGCAGGAGTGGACGAGCATGTGGAGCTCTGCGGGCTGTAATCCGTCGGCGGCCGGCGCGGAGGAGCCGCAGGGCAAGGAAATCGAGGAGGAGAGGCCGCTGGTGTTCCTGTGTTCCGGGTGCCGGCGGCCGCTGGGCGACTCACTGAGCTGGGTGGCGAAACAAGAGGACCCTGACTACATCCTGCTCCGCTGTCAGTTCGGGCCGGCCGGGGGATGGGTGGGATGTCGTGAGTGGGGTTAGGGCTGCATCTGGGGGTGGGGTGGAGCGTGTTGAAGTGTGGAGAAATCTGTTCTCCGAAAAGGGAAGGATTATGGTCACCCTGATCCTTTGACTCAAGAGTGAGAGGGTAGTATCCTTTATCTTGGAATTCCTCATGACAGTAAAGCAGTGGTCGGAAAAATCAGCATTATTGTGAACAGACGCAGGAAACTTCACAACTAGATTGTAAGCATCTTGGGTGTAGCACTGGACTGCGAGCGATCCACAAAGTCAACGGTTCGAGCCCGCCAGCCACTCTGCTGGAGAAAGATGAGGCTTTTTGCTCCCTAAAAGATTCAAAGCCTTGGAAACTCTATACAGGGGTTGCTATGAGTCGGAACCGACTTGAGGGCACTTAACAACAGTACTTGTCTGTTCTACTTTTGCCAAGCGAGCGGTTTGCTAATTAGTAAATAAGGAGCTCTGGTAGCGTGGTGGTTATGAATTGGGCTGCGAACCTCAAGGTCAGCAGTTGGAAACTACCAGCTGTTCTGCGGGAGAAAGATGAGGTTTTCTGTGCCCGTAAAGATTTACAGCCTCGGAAACCCTTTACAGGGTGGCAATGAGTCGGAACTGACTCCACGGCACATAACCACCACCGGTTGTTGTGGGCTCCTGGTGTGGCCCTGTAGGATCAGCACTTGACTGGAGTCACAAGGCTCATAGTTCAAATCCACCAGCTGCTCTTCGGAAACCTATATAGAGTCACTATGAATTGGAAACGACTTTTAACACTTAGCAGCAGTGGTTGTTGTTGGCTACCTTGTACTTGGTCCCTGACTCATGGCGTCTCTCAGGTAATGAGATGAAACACTGCTTAGTCTTGCCCATCCCCTTGATGGGAATATTGGGATCCATAGGGTTTTCATTGGCTGATTTTCGTAAGGAGATCACCAGGCCTTTCTTCCTAGTCCATCTTTGTCTAGAAACTCTGTTGAAAACTGTTCAGCATAATAGCAGCAAGCAAGCCTCCACTGACAAGAGTGAGTTTATAAATGGTTTGTTGTTCAGTATTGTTGAGTTGTTTTTGACTTCTAGTGACCTCTTTTAGGGTTTTCAAGGAGTTGCTGGTGGATTTGAACTGCTGACCTTGCGATTAGCAGACCAGTTCTTACCCTACAGTGCTAAATCAGGGCTCCGTAAATGGGTTAAGAGATTATAAATTATGCTTTTGAGCCACTTGCAGGGAAATATCAAGATTGATATCTGAGGTCTTACTGTCTGTGTCAGCGATACCTTCACAGTCTCAAGTGGTACAGCTATAGTTGACAGAACATAGTGCTTAATTTAAAAAAATCAAACGAGGAAACTTGCAATAAAAGCACCAACAGCCCAGTCAATATTGGAGAGGAGGGAGGACTATGTGGTAACTGTAAGATAAGCACTGGAATGCGAACCCAACCTTCATTTACAGTTTTTCAAGCAGTAACATGTTTGGTGTTAAATCTTTAATTTCATGTATACTTCCTGTTTTTACAGCTCTTTTGGTGTTTGGCGTATGGGCTCTTTGTTTAATTTTAAATACAGAAAACATTTTTTCCCCCTAGTATTGAATTTGTCTATCCCAGTAGTTGCTTTTAACCTTTCTAGGACAAAATAAATATGTTAATTTATCAGCTTTAGATAGTTTGATTGAAACTCCTCCAAGAAAGGTGAAGACATTAATTTCCCATTCCCTGTACCCCACTTTGACTTCAGTTAATTTTCGTTTGTCAGGGTCATAACATGTATATTCTGTTTGATAGCCATGGCCATTTAGCCTAAGATAACATTTATAGAACGCTCTGGTGGCACAATGGTTAAGCCTAGGCTGCTAACTCACAGGTTAACAGTTGTAACCCACCAAAAGGCTTCAAGGGAGAAAGACTTGGTGATCTGCTTCTGTAAAGATTTTTTAAATAAACACCCCCCACCCCCCAAACTTATTACTGTCAGATCAATTCTGATTCATAGTGACCCTATAAGACAGAGAGTAGAACTTCCCTGAAGGGTTTCAAGTCTGCAGTCTTGATGGATGGAGTCTTGATGAACGGAGTCTAGGATAAACACCACACTGCTACCTGCAAGGCCAGGTGCAAACCCATCAACCACTCCTTGGAAACCCTATACAAGGTCACTATGGCTCTACAGCACTTCAAACAACAGCAGTCTTTATGGAAGCAGATTGCCACGTCTTTTTCCTGTGGAGTATGGCTGGAGCAATGAATTGCTTAACCACTGTGCCACCAGGATTTTTTCCAGAATCGACTTAAATGACAGTACTCTTAAAGCTTTCCTGTTCCTGACTTGTTTATGTTGGTTCTTCTTCTTAGCTGCTGTGGAATAGGTTCTGACTCAAGGCAACTCATGCACAAAAGTATCAGACCTATGGAGTTTTCATTGGCTCATTTTTGGAAGGATAGCCAGACCATTCCTCCTACTCTGTATTAACCTGGAAGTTCTGCAGAAACATACCTGTTGAGCATTGTAGCAACATGTAAGCCCTTAGTAGTATTGACCAGGAACGGAACCTGGGTCTCCCACATGGAGGATGAGAATTCTGCTGAACTACCCTCATCATCAGTATAGGTATACGTTGTGTCATTTACAAACTGTGTGAGCACCCTGTTAAAACCTATGGGAGCCCACTTCCTGTTGTCCTCATTGAGCTGTTGCTACTGCTCCCTGAGTTCTGGCAAAGGCTAGAGGAACGGATGCTGGGCAGCAGCAGTGTCTGGTGTCTGAGAGGTCACTGGGGTGGCAGGAGTGGAGTAGGAGGGAGCAGGAGCAGCCGAGGCCCTGCTGCCTGTCAGACAAAGCCCAAGAACCCGTGCTTGCATGCTGGTCCAGTGCTGCAAAAGTCTGGGTTTGGGGTCTTTAAAACCTTAGGGGGAATAGCAAAAGGAGAGCTGCTATTCTTTAAAAAAACATGGCATCACAGATTTATCTATGGTCAAATGGGTGTTTCCTGAATCAATAATGATTTTTGTTAAGTGCTGTCGAGTCAGTTCTGACCCATACTGACCCTGTATAGGGTTTCTGAGGAGCGGTTGGTGAGCTTGAACTGCCAACCTTGGAATTCAAACCAACTTTGCAGTCCAGTGCATTAATCCACAGAGCCACACCAGGGCAACAGATATCTTAGTTCCTCTCCCTGAGAAAATTCCTGGTTTGAGTGCTTGAAATGTGTATTGTCTTGATAAATGGTTATCAACTAGACAGAATATACAATTCGTTGGTTGTACTTTTTGCTTTCTCCAGGCACCAGGACCAGCAATTGCATAGGCCTTGAGGCTCCTGTGGTTGAAGAATAGAACTAGAAATGAGATTTGGTGGTGGTGGTGGTGGTGGTGGTTCTGTGCCGTGGAGTCAGTTCCTACTCATAGCGACACTGTAAAGGGTTTCTGAGGCTGTAAATCTTTGTCGTTGTTATTAGGTGCCATAGCGACCTTATGCACAGCAGAATGAAACACTGCCCGATCCTGGGCCAACCTCACTACCGTTGCCATGCTTGAGTACATCGATGCTGCCACTTGGCTAATCCATCTCGTTGGGAGTCTTCCTCTTCTTCTCTGACCCTCCACCTTACCAAACATGATATACTTCTCCAGTGATTGGTCCTTCCTGACAATATGTCTGAAGTATGAGAGAGGAAGTGTGGCTTTCTTAAGGCCTCCAAGGAGCACTCTGGCTGCACTTCTTCCAAAACGAATCTATTGGTTCTTTTGGCAGCCCATGGCACTTTTCAGTATTCTCCTCCAACATTATAACTCAAAAGCATCAGTTCTTCTACGATCTTCCTTACTCACTGTCCAGCTTTCGCATGCATATGAGGTAATCGAAAATACCATGGCTTGGGTCAGGTGCACCTTAGTTCTCAAGCTGACATCTTTGCTTTTCAATACTTTAAAAAGGTCTTGTGAGGGAGCAGAAAGCCTCATCTTTCTCCTGCAGAATGGCTGGTAGTTTCAAATTGCTGACCGTGAGGTTAGCAGCCCCACTCATAACCACTACACTAACAGAGCTCCTTAGAATAAGATTTGTTGTTGTTGTTGTTAAGTGCCATCGAGTCGATAGCGACTCTGTATAGGGTTTCCGAGGAGCAGCTGGTGAGCTTGAACCACCGACCTTGCAGTTCAGACGGCTTTGCAGTCTGATGCATTAACCCATAGCACTACACCTGGACTCCATTAGAATAAGATTTGTTGTTATGTGCCATGGAGTCGGTTCCAACTCATAGTGACTCCATGGCACAGGGTTTCTGAGGCTGTAAATCTTTATGGGAGCAGAAAGCCTCATCTTTCTCCCGCAGAACAGCTGGTAGTTTCGAACTGCTAACCTTGCGGTTCACAGCCCGATTCGTAACCACTACGCTACTAGAGCTCCTGGAATAAGATTTAGGGAGTATTAAATACTCATAGGAGTAGGGAGGTCAGCTAGGGGAGGTATTGCAGAATTCCACGCAAGAGGTGGTGACAGCTGTGTTAGGAATAGAAAAGAGTGGATGTGTTGGAAAGACACTTGTGAGGTATAATTCACAGGATTTGTTGGTGGGGGGACCGTAGAGAGCAGGATGAGGAGACAGAAAAATCAAGAATCGCACTGCGGGGTTTCTGATCTGAGCCACTGGGTGGATGGTGGTGGCATTCATTGAGTTCAGGTAGACTGTATTGTTGTTAAGTGCCTGTCAAGTTGGTTCTAACTCATAGTGACACTGTATAGGCTTTCCAAGGACCTTGCAATTCAAATTGACCTTGCAGTCCAGTGTTTATCCTATAGCGCCATACCAGGAGTAGGTGAAATCCAGAGGCTATTTTGTTAAATGGGTTGGGCCATGGTCCTCTTCATCTCCTTCCACCCGTCCTTTCATGTGTCCTGGACCTGGATCCTCATGCTGTTTTGGTTTCCCTATGACCCTGGCTCAAGTTAAAGAATTTTGCCTGGGTTCCTGAGGACCTTCTCAATTACTTGTAGAGAAATGAGCTCTCTGTTGGAGATCTGGAGATATATGCATTGAATTTTAGCGGCTTCCTTGGTTTGGATCCCAATTTCACCAAATCGGGAACCTAGCCAAAAGTCTTTGCTTTTGTTCTCATTTTTCTAAGTTTTATTGTTGCCCGAATTTCCTTCTTAAGAGTATCCATTTTGCTAATGCCAGTGGTTTTCAGGAGGAGATAATGCTTGTGCTGCTTTGTTTTTCCATGTGCTGTGTCTGAGAGAGTCAGAAAGGGAGAGACTTTGCTTCGTAATGTTTTGGCCCTCTGGAGTTACAATCTAAAACTGAGATTAAAACTAAACCCACTGCTATTGAGTTAATTCCAATTCACAGCAACCCTATCTAATAGAGTTTATGAAACTATAAATCCTATGGGAACCGACAGCCTCATTATCCTCCCTTTGAGCAGCTGGTGGGTTTGAATCGCTGAACATGCAGTTAGTAGTCTATTGCAAAGCTCACAGCACCACAAGGGCTCCTTACAACTTAGATGATAGGTTCTGTAAATATCTGTTGTTGTTGTTGTTAAGTGCCGTCGAGTCGGTTCTGACCCATAGCGACCCTGTACAGGGTTTCTGAGGCTGTAAATCTTTACGGGAGCAGAAAGCCTCATCTTTCTCCCGCGGAGCAGCTGGTAGTTTCGAACCGCTGACCTTTAGGTTCACAGCCCGATTCGTAACCACTACGCTACCAGAGCGTAGTGGTTACAGAGTAAATATCTGTAGGTATATTATAATAAGCCACATTAGTAAATTGTAGTTGCTTCCCTTCTTTCTAGGTGTCTCCTGTAATGTTGCTATGGACAAGGAGCAGAAACTCTCTAAACGTAAAAATGAAGATGGCTGGTGAGTAAAGCTGTTATCTGTATGAATATTCATGTTATGGAAATGCTTATTTTTCATGTGAAAACCTTTTAAAAGATCAACCAGGAAGATTTGTTGTTGTTAAGTGCCTTCAAGTCAGTTCTGACTCATAGTGACCCTGTATAGGGTGTCTGAAGAGAGGCTGGTGAGTTTGAACTGTCGACCTTGAGCTTCAAACCGACCTTGAGGTCAAGTACTTATCCTATGGTGCCACACCAAGACTAAGAAGATTACTTGGGATGAAACTGTTACATAGTAATCACTAAAAATCATCCATTCAAATCTCTTCTTCCTGAATGATGTGGTTTCCTAGATACTTACATGGAAGAGTTTCTAGATTTCTAAATAAATTTTCTGATACTTCCCTCTTTGGCTCTTTGGGCTTGGTTTTAAAGAATATTGTTGTTGTTGTTGAGTGCCATCGAGTCGGGTCCGACCCATAGCGACCCTGTACAGGGTTTCCGAGGAATATAGACAAAGAAAATATCTGTATAATAAAATCTCACAGTCAAAAGGGCCCGTTGAGTCCGTTCTAATGGCTACTTGTTCTGTACACAACAGAACAAAACAGCGCCTGGTCGTTCGCCATCCTCACAGCTGCAGTTACATTGGAGCCCACTGCTGTTGCCATTGTGGCAATCCATCTCCTGGCCAGGGTCTTCCTCCTTTTCACTGACCCTCCACTTTACCAAATATGATGTCCATCGTCAGGGACTATTGTTGTTGGTAACTGCTGCTGAGTTGGTTCCAACCCATAACGACCTTGTGTAGGGTTTCCGAAGAGCAGCTGGTGAGCTTGAACTGCTGACATTGCTGTTCAAACTGGTTTTGCAGTCCAGCACGTTAACCCACAGTGCTACACCAGGACTCCTCTTCAGGGACTGGTGTTTCCTAATAATATGTCCAAAGTATGAGAGAAAAAATTTTGCTATCCTGACTTCTGAGGAGCATTCTGGCTGTTCTTCTGGCAGTCCGTGGTACTTCTGATATTCTCCCACACCATAACTCAAATGCATCAATTCTTCTATGGTCTTCCTTATTACGTTATCAAACTTTCACATGCATATGAGGCTGTTGAAATTACCATGGCTTGGGTCATGTACACCTTAGTCCTCTAACTGATTTTCTTTGCTCTTGAACACTTTTAAGAGGTTTTTTGGCTGCAGATTTGCTTGTAGTAATAACATCTTTTGATTAATCTTGACTGCTACTTCCATGAGCGTTGATTGTAGATCGAGGAAAATGAAGTCTTTGACTACTTTGATCTTTTCTCCATTTATCACGATATTTATTGGTCCAGTGGTGAGTATCTTTGTTTTCTTTACATTGAGGTGCAATCCATACTGAAGCATCCATTGTCTTTGATTTTTGTCAGTAAGTATTTTACATCCTCTTCACTTCTAGTACATAAGGTTGTATCATTTGCATATTGCAGATTGACAATGAGTTTTCCTCTAGTCTTGATGCCACGTTTTTCATATAATCTAGCTCCTTAGATTATTTGCTAAGCATACAGATTAAATAAGTATAAAAGAATACAACCCTGGCACACACTTTGCCTGATTTTAAACCATTCAATGTCCCCTTGTTCTGTTCGAACAACTGTCTCTTAGTCTATGTACAGGTTCCTCATGAACACAATTAAGTGTTCTGGAACACCCATTCCTCGCAATTTTACCCATAGTTTGTCATGATCCTCACAAATGAAATTCTCTTCATAGTCAATAAAGTACAAGTAAACATTTTTCTGGTTTTCTCTGCTTTCAGCTAAGATCCATCTAATGTCAGCAATGACACTCCTTGTTTCATGTCCGCATCTGAATCTGGCTTGAACTTCTGGAAGTTCCCTGTTGATGTACTGTTGCAGCCGTTTTTTAATTATCGTCAGCAAAATTTTACTTGAATGTGAGATTAATGATAATTGATGATTTCCGCATTCTGTTGGGTCACCTCTTTTTGGAATGGGCACTAATACGGATCTCTTCTAGTCAGTTGACCAGGTAGCTGTCTTCCAAATTTCTTGGCAGAGATGAGTAAGAGGTTCCAGTGCTGCATCAATTTATTGAAAGATTTCAATTTGTATTCCATCAGTTCCTGGAGCCTTGTTCTTTGCCAATGCCTTCAGTCACCTTGGACTTCTTCCTTCAGTACCATTTGCTTTTGATCATCTGCTTTCTCTTGAAATAGCTGAACATCTACCATTTCTTTTTGGTGCAGGGACTTTGTGTATTCCTTCTACCTTCTTTTGATGCTTCCTGTATCATTCAGTATTTTGCCCTTGCTGTTATTAAGTGCTGTCGAGTGAGTCCAACCCATAGTGACCCTTAATAGAGTTTTTGAAGAGCAGTTGGTGAATTTAAACCGCTGATCTTGCCCATAGAATTCTTCAATATTGCAAGTTGAGGATTAAATGTTTTCTAAAATATAGAGATTAGAATTTATAATCCATTTCATAGAATAGAGGATAGTTATATCAGATCACAAATGGAGGACAACCACACAATACTGCCACTTAGGGCCTAGTCAAGACACATATTTTGGGGGCACAATTCTACCATGGTAGGTATCCTTCAGTGTTTTAGTTTGATTTTGATCATTCAGGATAAAATAGTCTTTTATCCTGAATGACCTGTGTTTAAGCCTCAGTTTTCCTAAACATCCTTTCTTGACTGATGACACCTGTAATTAGGTGTTAGTTCATAGTCTTGACAGTTCCATGTGGCAGCCTTATGATGATTGTGAGGTTTCATATATAGACTAAAAGGTTTGTTTCCTGTTCACTTTTGGCTGTATTGGTGGACAGCTCTTCTCAGGGTTACCGAGATGCTTTTCTGCATCTAATTCCATTGTTGTTGTGATGTTCCGTGGAGTCGGTTCCGACTCATAGTGACCCTGTAACAGGGTTTCCGAGGCTGTAAATCTTTATGGGAGCAGAAAGCCTCATCTTTCTCCCGTGGAACAGCTGGTAGTTTCGAACTGCTGACGCTGAGGTTCGCAGCCAGATTTGTAACCACTACGCTATCACAGCTCCTTAATAATACACATACAGTCAGTGGTATATTGTCTAGCTAATTATATCACCAGTGAAAATTTGTAATTTATGAGGTAGTGATCCACTGTGTTCTTCGTCCCATATGTTGCTACTGTAATTAATAATGTATCTCAAATTCTGCTCGTGAGCAATCTATAAGAAACTGTTTGACAGTTTCCTTTAGCTTAATAGCAGGAATTAATAGTATTTACAAGTTACAGTACTTTTGAAATAATAGAACTCTTTTGTAATGTGTAGGTCATTGTTGTGACCATCATTAAGTATAAGTCCCCGATTACCAGAGTGTGCTATATACCGGAACTGTATTTTTATTATAGATATTTGTAGAATGTAAATTTGGATGCCAGTTAGACAAAGCTTTTAGGAGACAGTGGATTCTAAGGCAGTTTTAAGGAAGTTAAAGGATACGCATTGGCATATGGGGAGAGTATATTCAAGTATGTGAACCATGAGTTGAGAAGTAGCTAGATTGAAGAAAGAATTACATGGAGAAAAAGTGATGGCTTGGTGAGTGTAATAATTGTAAATTGCCTCTCTGGATCATTTCTGTAGTGGACGGAAGACTGAGTGCTAGCATTGAAATATGATTTATGAAGAAACCAACTCTCTGATAAATACATGATGAGCATGTCAAACATTTATTTAACTCGTTAATGAGGGAACCAGAGATGGCAAAGTTGGTTTAAAGGAAGACACTGTTTTTGTAAGACAACTGTATCAAATGTCCCCCAAATCAATGAAACCTCAACCTTTGGGGTTATATTTTCTACCAGCAGAAATCGCTTATATCTCTACCAGATGAAAATTATCACAGTTTTTCAATGTCCTTTTTTACAAATCATCATTTAAACTCAAGAGTTTAATAGTAAGTAAGTAATGTTATCTTTCCCTAGAGCAGGGGTGGAAAACTATAGCCAGTGTTTTTGTAAAGTTTTTTTTGATCACAAACACATCGTTCAGTTATGTGTCATCTATTGCTGGTTTTGTGCGACAGTGGCAGAGTTGAGTCATTGTGACAAGATAGCATGTGATCCGCAAGCTTAAAATCACATGACACTTGGTGAGCTAGGTAGATGATCTGACATTAGAAGGGCATGCTGAGTCTTTTTTTTCTTTCTCAATTTTAGATAATTTTTAAAAATACTAGACTGAAGAATTGACATTCTAGAAATACACTACCTCAGTATCCTTCCTTCTTGTCACTTTTGTATATGTCTCTTGTCTTCAGATGTTTAAGACCTGTAGACTGTTCTCTTTACATTTCTGATAGAAGCATCTTTCTATCATTTCCCTGTACATGTAAGAGTTAACTTGGTCAGAGCATAAATGTGTAGAGACACACATGCTTAGGTGTTTATGGATGTATGGAACAGGTTGTTCTTCTGTTTCCTAAAGCAGTGGCATTTCTCTGTTGCAGCGTTCTTGAGACTCTGTACTGCGCTGGATGTTCCCTCCAGCTAGGCCATATTTACAGATGCACACCCAGGAATCTTGATTTCAAAAGAGACTTGTTTTGCCTCAGTGCCAAGGCCATTGAAAGGTAAGTTTGAAACGTACGAGAGGGCATTAAAAAGTCTGTAGGAAAATTCCATTGTCTTCTAATTCCATTTTTCCATTAGCTTTTGAAGCCCTTTCATATGTGAATATGAACGGTAAGTTTGCAGAGAAATTGGTATTGAAAACATAAGAACTAATCAATATTGTTTCATTAAAAGATATATTTTCAAGTAATAATTTCTGACAATAAACTTATTAATCCCCCCCTGATGTATTTGACATTAGAAAAGTCATGCATTCTGAATCTAAGGAGAAAACACTGAGAGAAAAAATTTGGAGTAAAAATATTTTCACTTGTTTTCAAAAATAAAATTTAACTTATCATTTAGTAGATCAATACATGCTGTCCATTTGATTTTTCTCCCAGAGTTTTTTAATCTCCTAGAATATCATGTGGGAATAGGAATTTCAAAACTGGTAAAAAGCAGTCTCTTTGATGTTCTAGAAAAGTAACAATTTACAGTCTGTTTCTGGTAGCAAAGAATCATCTGCTTTATTTGAGATACACAAGGAAATGCATTTGCTCTCCAAGTTCTCTACAAGTAAGTGTTAGGAAACAACGCAAATTGTTAACAGATGACGCATGCCAGTTAAAAATTTTCAGATTATCTTGATGGCATCCCAATTCAATGACCTTCTTTTATTGGACATAGATAGAGCAAGATTAAATAAGCCAGTCAACTCTAATGCATTTTTCTTGTCTTTGCAAATATCCATCAGGACTTTAAGATGCCTTGTTGTTGTTAAGTGCTGATTAGTCATTTCTGACTCACAGTGACCCTGAGTAGGGGTTCAGAGGAGCAGCTGTGAGTTTGAACTACCAGCCTTTTGGAGAGCAGTCCAGTGCTTATCGTACAGTGCCACAGGACTCCTTAGAGTACTTAAGACACTATATGCCAGGTCACAAGAACAATTGAAGAAGAAAATTTAAGTTTTAGAAAGGTGGTGGACTAGGTAGACGCACTACATGGACCCTCTAAGACAAAGATACGAATGGCCAAGTAAGACAGACATATGAAAATTCTGGCACCCTGAACTTCAGAAGAAAGGTTAGAGAGGTGGATGGAGTGCTTGCTGGGAGGAGAGGCAGAGCAGGGACGGCAAGAGAAGGAAACTGACTAGTGACCATCTGTCTGCCCAGATGAGGTGGAGGGAGGCCTGGCAGAGAAGCTTTGCATGGGCGACGGGGAAGGTGTGATTTCTTCTTTTTCCCCACGCTCCCTTGGTGACCAGAAGTGTGGCCAGCTCCCACCCTCATCCACCCCAGCACAGACACTGCTCTTCAGGAGTTCGGAACCACATGCTTGGGAGCCACAGCAGTGTGAGCTGGCCAGCTGTGCTGCTTTGGTGCCTGGATTCACGTGGGCTTGGCTCCAGACCTACAAAACCCAAGGAACCACCAAACCAGTGTTTAACAAGTTACTCTGCCCCCAGTTCCCCTGTGATCCTAACGGACACAGAAACCAGCTCCTTCAAGGACCGCCACAAATGACTTCCAGATTGAGTGCTCTGAACATACAGAACAGCGAGGCCAATTGGAACTCCATCTAGGGCCAGGAACTTTGCTGTCACATTGCTTGTATAACTACCTTGTGAGTTCCTTGAATTACAGGAAGCCACCAGAGATTTTCCCCCTCCAGGTCCAACAATTGTACTGTTTGTTTTTACAAATATGACAATCCCAGTGCCCCAGAGGTAACATGAAGAAACAAGAGAAAATAGCTCAATCATATACCCAGCAAAATTACCCCTCAAATGTAACGGGGATATTGGGACATTTCCTGATAAACAGTAATTAAAGGAATTTGTAATGACCATAGCAAGCACTGTGAGATAATGCACTAGACCAAAAGGTTGATTTGAACTACAAGGTTTGTAGTTCAAGCAAACCAGTCGCTCCTCAGAAATCATCCTATATAGGGTCGCTATGAGTTGGAACCAATTCGATGACACTTAATAAATAGCAACATATCAACTTTTCAAAAATTGCTAACTGTTGTTCTTTGGACTGAGGACCAACATCAGACAACAGTCTGAGATTACCATTCATGATAACACCACCCAGAACTCAATCCAGATGTAGAAGGGAAGTCCTGGTGTGACACTGCCTTAATATGTTGGACTGCAAGGTCACTTTGAACCGCAAGGTTGGCGGTTCAAGCTCACCAACTGCTCCTCAGAAACCTTATACAGGGTCGCTATGGGTTGGAGCTGACTCAATGGCACTTAACAGCAACAACAAAGTAAAATAAACCTCCAAGACTGAAACTAGGGAAACAGAGATATTAATGTATAATGAAGTCAACTACAAAGCAAAAAGATAATGTAGATATAGAACATACATGGAAGTCAAGTAGATTTCAAGTTAAAATAGGCTGTTTTAGCTTAGAAATATTAATAAGTTACAGGGTAGCCTCAAAGACAAATAATATACCTGTATATCAAAATTTAAAAAAAGAAGAAAATCAGAAATATTTAGTAAACATTCACACAACAGAAATGAAGGTGAAAAGAAAATCCACATGCAAAAGAAATGCAGCATAGAAAATTATGTGGAACAAAGAATCCAGCAGTACCATCAAAAAACACACAGAAAAATGACAACAATTAATTCATACCTATTGATAACTATACTGAATGCAAATAGATTAAGTGTACCAGAGATATAGAGAGCAGAACGGATGAGAAAACAGGATGCTGTAGTATGCTATCCACAAGAGATAATATCAAAAAGATGAAGACATCCTAAATGAAACAAACTGGTACATACATACAGTGGAACACTATGCAACGTGAAGAATGCTGATGAATCTGTGAAACACCTCACAGCATGGTTGATCCTGGAGGATTAAATTGGTCAGTCACAAAAGGTCAAACATTGTATGAGATCAATGTTGTAAAAATTTTTTTAAATGTTTTCTTGATAAAGAATCTTTGATGGTTATGGAGATGAGGGGTGGGAGGGAAAATTAACCCTACACAACAGAATAATATATAACAAGTTCTGTTGTTTTTTTCTAGTGAAGTGTGTACATCTGTCTGGACAGATACTGAATCTGTTTTTGTTTTGCTATATGAGTAGAAGATTGTAGAACAAACAAATGTTTCCTGAATCTCCAGGAAAATTTTATCAAGGTTTGTGAAAATGAAGTAAGGGCAAGTAAATATAAAAGACAGGAAATCTCAGTCTAGTAGAGTTGGTATAAAACCTTTTAAAGCCATAATGGCTTGACAGGAAAATGTGTGGGAGATTCCACACAGGAGAGAGTATTGAAGTTATTTCATCCAAACAGTTGAATTCAGAGTAAAAAGTTACCTTGGGGTTCCGATTTTTTATGTCTTGTTTGTTTTAGAAGTAGATACCTCAAGAAGGTTTATTTATAGTTTTGTACTACTCAATCCATTTTATTTTTCTACCTTGTCTTTTTTTAAAAACAAAACAAAAACAACAATGTATGAAAAGAGCGCTGCTGGCACTGTAGGCTAAGTGCTGGACTGGTAACTGTAAGGTCAGCAGTTCAAATCCACCAGCCGCTCAGCACGAGACAAGATTTAATTGATTTCTGCCTACTATGTGGCGCTATAGGATCAGCACTGGACTGCGAACCACAAGGTCAGCAGTTCAAGCCACCAGCTGCTCCTCAGAAACTCTATACAGGGTCCCTGTGAGTCAGAACCAACTTGACAGCACTTAACAACAGCGATGTGCTTAAGAGTTCTAATAATAATTAACATACATTTAATATGAGAGTAAGTAAAAAAGTATTGCTGCAAAATCATAGAAAACTTGAGTAAGCATCAGTATCACAATGTGAAACTGTTGTTTCTGGATATACCCTCTATCTAAGTCTGTACACTTGTGCGGATTGTTTCAGTTCCCTGAAGGTTATTCTGAGCACTTCGATTTACATCACATCAAAACAAGTGTTTTTGGCATCCTTGATGAACTCACATTATGTTCCTTTTGAATAGTTTTTGTTTGGGGTATAGAAAGAAGTCTGGAAGGGCGAGATCAAGACTGGAGGGGATAGAGTAAGGTCTCCCTATGAAATTCTTGTAGGGCTGCCCTTCCTACCCTGGAAGAATGAGCAGGTACATTGTCATGATGGAAAAAATTCCTCAGGCTAACTTTCTTGGCCTTTTTCTCACCAATATAGTTTTCAGTTTTCTTAAAACTTCTTCCTAATATGCGCCCTTGATTGTCCTGTGTCCTTTGAAAAAAATCTTATGAATATACCCCCTTAAGAATCTCAGAAAACAGTTTCCTTAGCCTTCTGAGCTGACCACTTTGCCTTGACGGTAACTGGCCCAGCAGGTCCCTTTAGAAGCCCCTTAAGGAGTCTCTGACAAGAACATTATGGAAAGACCTGGTCTGCAGCCATCACTGATCACAGAGACCTTCAAACACATTCTGTTTGGAATAAACTGGTGCGTGTGTGAACCAGAGCACTAGTAACAACACTTTTTAACTTACCCTCATAATTGTTCCTGTTCATATTTTAACTTTGTGCTGTATTACAGTTATATTTTAGGGTCTTCTGAAAAGCAAGTTGTGTCAGAAGATAAAGAGCTTTTTAATCTTGAAAGCAGAGTTGAGATAGAAAAATCTCTAAAACAGGTAACTTTACTGTGCAAGTTTTATGTCTCTATGTCCCTCTACAGGGTCGCTATGAGTTGGAACCGACTCGATGGCACTTAACAATAACATGAACAATGTTCAGTTAGTGAACATGTGTTCTTTAATAATTCTGTTTTGATCTTAGCACTTTTATGGTAAAAGAGTGCTTATTTTATTGCATTTAGTGGTAAAATTGATGGGGGCGGGGCAAAGTACAAATCAAGCTAAAGCTTTACCAACAAAATCATAAGACATTTCATACCAGATTCAAAACAGTATATATCCTACAACTACTGAACTGGCATCAGTATATCTTTGGATCAAATCAGTGTTCATTTGATTCAGTTCCCATGTTAACGTCTTTTCATGGCCAGATAGGCAAGAACTGTTGGTGGTGATTGATGCATGTGGGTTACAGGTTGAGGACCACTACCAATAGAATTATGATGTCTCTTTTAATGAAAATTTACTTTGTGCTTGTAAAAAACATCATTAGACAATCCATGACACGTTCAGAAATTACATTCAGGATGTATATTTTCACCAGCCACCCTTTGGAAACCCTATATAACGTTGCTATGAGTTGGAACCGACTCGATGGCACTTAACAACAACAACGATTGTGTATATTTTAAATAATAAATGTATGTTTTAATGTATTCTTTGTTCAATTCAATAGATGGAAGATGTTTTGGAAGCATTACAAATTCAGCTGAGTGAGGTTGAATCAAAATTGTTCTCTACCAAGAGCTGAAATTGATTTGACGCCCTCCATTCTGGACTCCCCTGCTTCCGCTGCCACACGGCTCTTTCATATGCTGCAATTTATTTCACTGAGAATCCACCGACTTCTAAGTAACAATGTACGTGGTATTCTTAAGTCATGACTGAGAGAGAAGATTTGTAGAATTCCTTTTGTAATTTTGTATTGATTGATAACATTATTTCCCAAATTTGAAATTTAAAGTCATGTTATATTTGCTGGAACTGGGGCTTAGAGGTTTATTTTGTTAACTCATGAGTTTCTGAACTGTTGTTATCAAACTCATTCTTCGTTTCCTTTTTTTTTTTTTTCATTCAGTGATACCTTTAATACTTTCGACAATATTTAATAAAATCTTAGTTATTTGTTTTTTTTAACCCAAGACGTAGTTGGATCATCTCTGTAAACTGATGCATGGAGCTCTCTTGAGAACCAGTGGTTGGATGAGTACTTGTCAATGATTTGAAAACATGTGCAAGGGCAAAACAACGTGAATGTGTGGGATTCCATTTAATTTTGCTTGCTGTTTTTGTTTACCAATGTATGCTTAGAAAACTTGTCAGAGTATTTACAAAGGGGAGTAGTAATCATCTGAGTGGATCCTGGGGGATATTTCAGTTTCAGTTTTCTATCATATGTGAATTTTATTGTAAATATGTTGTTTTTAAAATCAGGAAGGGAATAAAGTCTAAAATAAGGTGTTTTGAGATTGATGTTCACAAACCTGAACTTTGGAATTTAACTGACACAGAAATCCTGGTGCCATGAATCTACCCATGTGCCATGAACATGACACCATTGTAGACGTGCTCAAGGGATAGAAAGGTAAACCCTTGCTCTCCTAGGCCCCTTTCCATTTCTGGGTACATAACAGTTTTGTTCTTGTTAGGTGCCATCGAGTCGGTACTGACTTGTAACGACCCTGTGTACAACAGAATGAAACAGTGCCAGGTCCTATGCCAACTTCACAACTGTTCCTACACTTGAATCCATAGCTGCTGCCACTATACCAATGCATCTCGTTGTGGAGGAGGACTTTGCCCATTTTTTTCTGACCCTCCGCTTTACAAAACTTGATATCCTTCGCCAGTGACTGGTCCCTCCTGACAATATGTCCAAAGCTTCCAAGGAGCACTCTGATTGTATTCAGTTTATATGAGTAACTCACTCAACTTCTCAGAATTTTTCTAATTACTTCTGAGAATGTTTAAAGTTATCAAATGTTAAATTCCTATGTGAAATTGATTTGATTAGTCACAGTTATTGAGTTCTTTTGGCTTCCAGTGGTGAGGCCTCTAGAAACCCCTTACAACTTGCTACCAGGTGGAATATGGTATGTCGGGGTTTGCCCTCGACATAGTTGTCACGAGTGTTTGGTTCACGAGGAGGGGTGATCCAGCAGCGATAGGGATAGCGAAAGAATACACAGACAAACAGAAGAAGGGAGACAATGAGGCACCCCAAAGCCAGG